GAGACAAACCAGGAATGAAGTTTATGTTCTGTTGTTTTTTTTCTACAAGGTTTAGAATAGGTTCTATTTGAAGAGAAAGAGAAGTGTGTTGCTTGTAGAGCAAAATGCCAGTGAAAGCAAGCCTGTTTGTTGAGTACTTAAATATCAGAGCAGTTTCATAGCTGGAGGCAGGATGAATTGAACACGAAAATGCAAAACGTATTTAATACGCATAAGACGCTAATCCAGAGCCTTGGGTTCATCAATAAAAGATGCCAGGGACTTAGGAATTATTGTAATGCATACAACACAAGTACAAAAAAATCTTGAAACCCCATCACATATTTGGAAAATGTCCTGTTACAGCTCAGCTCCTATCGTCTTGACACAGGTGCCGGAACAGGATGTTTCTTATGCCGTATCAAGAGAGCTGCGATGCAGTTGGACCTTTTTGATGTCAAAGTCGAAAAGGTACATGAAAGGCCCAAGTTATGGTCACTGTCAAACACTCACCCTGTACTGTCCTACAACTAGCACTACAGCCCTGGCTCTAGTAATTATTTACCACATTGGTTCAATTCCAGATCCTTAATTATAGTAAAGAATCCAATGAATAAACTTTAACTTATCTTTCTTGTTATAACTAACTGCTCTTTCAGAACAGTTGAGTATTATTTTAAGGTGTAAAATACAACTCACTTATCAATGTGCCCTATTATATACTTAGTTTAATTACTCAAATAGTTCATGCTATCTTTATAGATTTGCATTATACAACCATTCAGCTTTAGTTGTTCATTTGCCTGTTCAATAACAGATGTCAATAAAACCGAACTCAGCAATTGTGACTCATAGGTGGAACTCACACCAGAAGTATAATTCTAAAAGGATAAGACATTAGCACAACCACTGAGGTCAATCTCTGTGGTTAAGAACACAACATTATGGCACAGCTTCTGCCTGTTCTGAGAAACAGTCATATTCTGAAAATTAAAAGAACTCTTCTGTAAGAGCGTGACATAGCAACTTGTCTAGTTCAAACCCTATCAAGAGCAAGAAACATTAAACATTACACCCTTGTATCTTTATACTTCTGAATTAGATTCATTTACAAATACCTTCAATTTACTGATCCTTAATCCATTCACTTGCCACAGTACCATGGGACTATGGCAAACAAATTGGAGTCAAATCCTATTTTTGTTTCCTGCTAATTTGCAAATTAAATGATTGTTTCAAGCAACAGTTCCTATTCTGGAAATTCTGTCCCATTAGGTCATTTACTTTCCAAAAACCTTCTTTAAGTAGTTTCAGGCCTGCATCACAGACTCCTCTAATTTGAATTTGAAATTAAAACATTTCTCCCACATTAGTCCCAGTTGGGTAACTGGAAACTTGAGCCTTGAAAAACTGTTTTTCATCCAGTTCTGAGCCACATGAATTTAAGAGCATAACTTATTTTTATGCCAAGGAGGAAGCATGAAGTTGACTGTTTCATCTCTAGAAATGAGGAAGGAATTTATGAAATCACGTGTGAATTCATTCTTCACTTGCTAAACAAGGGTTCCCCAGTTCCTGAAAAAGATACAGATGGGTCAGGGAATCCACAGACATGCAGTCCCACTGCACACCTGATGAGATGGAGAAACTGCATCACCAGATTAACTGGGGGGGGGGAATTCTAGGGGGTTAGATGGTTGAAACCAAGACTAGAATTTAGGCAAGATAACTGGATTAATACCCAGTCTTACAAACAGTGCCATGTGTTCTTCAATTACCAAGAAGTCAGGATGTTTGTGTAATGTGTCACAGGGAGGACAGCACCATGCACCCGCTCACCTTGCTGGAACATTCATTGTGGAAATTCTCATTCAAAAGGAGAATACCAACTTCGCTTACAGACATGGAATCTAATCTTGGGAGATCTCCCATTCCAGTGCTGACCAGTCCCAAAGTTCAGTTTGGAAAATTAAACTCCAGAATTAGGGAACCGCAAAAGACAACCAATGCAAAGTTTATTCATACACATATCAAGCTAGTGGAACAGGTAATAAAAGCACGCAACCTTATTACAGAACTGAAAAGGGTACATTAAGCCCACAGATAATATGGAAATCAGGAAGTTCAACATTTCGAAACCTGTTTCAATCCAAAACAAGCAGCTTTAGGAAGACAAGCAGCTGTACTAGAACTGTCAAGTGTAGGTCAAGAGAATTCCTTCTTTCAAAGACATAGTAGGATACTATACTGTGCTAGTAGGAACCATTTTCTTTAATAAATAACAGGATGCACTCTGTTTATCTTCCTTACATGAAAAGGCTTAGGTCAAGGGATATTTACCTAAACTGAAAAAATGAAACCTAGGATCTAACTTCAACTGAGCTTTTCTGTCTACCTCAGCACCAGTAATACAAAACTTCACACAATTTTGGCAAAAGAGGCAACTGGACTGAAGTAATATTTTAAATAATGTCTAATAGCTTGAGATGGATTCTATCCCGATTGGCCTGAGGATTATGTCCATAACATTGGGTTTTGCTTTCTGCTCAGCAGCTGTCCACAGGAATGAGGCTGAAGGAAATACTGTATTTTCTGACACAGGGCACCCGTTCACTTCTACAATTATGCAACATGCTTTCAGCCAATAACTGTGGTGTTAGTTTAAAACAGATTACATACTTAAGCCAACCATGCATTGAGAGCTAGACCTAAAGTCCATGTGTATGAGAAACACCTAGAGAAAATGGCCGTTTAAATATAGTGTTGTGAGTGGCAAAGTACTTCTGTTACCTCACCAGGGAGAAG